CCCTCTGTTTTCCACCCCCTGGTTGTTGGTCCTCCTCCAACATGCTTCGCTAAGAGTTTATCTTCTAGTTTCAACTCACTTGCAAACGCGGAGCGTCACTGCTGCCATGTCGACAGGCCCATGTCCAAACAAGTGGTCCACCCCATTTCATCGGCTTCCATTTGGAGCCCTCGATGCTCCTTCAGATTCGCATGCCTCAGTGTACGCACACTGCTACAGATCGGTCAACAGGCAGCTCTTTCTCGAACTTTAGAGACCCTCTCCATCGATATCTGCTGCTTATCGGAGACCCGCCTGCAAGACTCAAGCTCTGTGCTCACTCTGCCGTCCGTTTCAGATAACACCAGCAGCATTTTCTCATTGCGCCTATCCGATGATGATGCAGCTTCGACCACCGGCCAAGCTGATGTTGGCATTACCCTAAGTCCCCGGGCTGAAGTTGCCCTGGTTGATTGAATCCTAATCAGTAGCCGGATGTGTGCGGTCCCATTGGCTGTATCGTTCCAAGTCGCGCGGTACTACTAGGTGTCTGTTCGTCATGGCCGTCGCCGTCATCGCCAGTATAGAGGTGAATCTAATCTAAATAGGGATTCATTTGACTAGGGGAATGTAAGGAATTCACTAAGTCGAGTATCCATGGGATCAAATGATCTAGTCAGCCTTAATAGAGATCCATTAAATCAAACTAGAAAAGACAAGCGTTCCTTAACCGAATGTCTGTAAATTAATGCTCCAAACACTTTCAGTTGAAAAACAGTTGGTTCCAATAATAGTGTGTGCGGAAAGGCCGCAAGCCGTTTCTGTTAGCTAATCTAAGCGGCTTGAAACAAATATTAAAAGTAGAAAATGAACACCGGGAACAAACTTGTGTGGGGTGACAACCCGGTATCGATTTCAATGAGTAGGATATATATATATATATATATATATATATATATATATATATATATATCTTCACAGTCTGTTAACAGACATTGTGCCATCAGAACCATGGCAGAAGAAAAAAGTGGAGAAGATTTGAACATGGACGATTAAAAAATGTGGGAAACAATTTTTTGGCTTTACACACGCCATTTTGTATTTTTGTTTTGCTTTGTGAGCTTTTGTGTGCATCAAAGGGATGGTAAAATGGCAGAACAATATTGGCGCCACTGATGTCTGTTGCGGGCCATGACGTCTACTGTTTCCAACCACTGAGATTCAGCATCTCGTGGTCCCCAACCTGGAAGACGGACTGGTCCAACTGCTGCCAAACTTGAGATTTCAATGAGTAGATTCCGCCTGTAACCTTTTAGGCAAGGATGCGTTCGCAAATCAACTCGCGAGTGTAACTGCAGTTAAGTGAGCAGCAGATTAAACATCATTACACAGGTTAAGAAGAAATGGAACAGTTCAAATAGGTTTCTTCGAAATATTAATGTCAGCATTTGAGGATATATTAACGACAAATCCGCGAAATCTACCACAATGGTTTTCATGTCTCCACAACATTTCACAACGTGCGCACTTGTTTTGATCGGTCAACATGCAGTGCTTATTCGAACAATAGAGTCTCTAACGATCGACATCTGTTGATTATTGGAAACCCGCCTGCAAGGCTCTAACTTTGTGTTCACTATACGATCCATCACAGGCGACACTGGCGACAATTTCTTATTGCGCTTGTTTGCAGATGACGCAGCTTCAAATGCCGGTAAAGCCAGTGTGGGAAATGTTCTGAGTCCTCGGGTTGGGTCTATTCTGATTGACTGGATCCCAATGAACAGCCAAATGCGCGCCGTCAGATTGGCTGGCCTGTTCGAACCTCCGAAGACGCGCGGGGAAAAACGCTGTCTGTTCGTCATTGTGACCTACTCCCTCACAATTTGTTGTGCTGACTCGTAGAATGATGACTAACTGGTCGAGCACCTTCGTCCCTGAGAAACTACGGACATTGTATTGCTGGTTGGAGAGCTGAATGCTCAATTTGGAAAAATGTCCACCGATGGGCTGCATCTGGGCGGCCAACACGGGGTATGCTCTCGTAATGAGAACGGTGAACGGCAGTTACATTTGTGTGAAGATGTTCATCTAATTTTCGCGAGTACTAACCTCCGATATAGCAACTGCAGAAGCGTGATATGGCGCCCAGCAGTCTTGGGCCAGCTATGGACGCAAATCGATCACATCGCTATCAGTTACCGCGGAAGTTTGGAAAAAGAACCTCGGGCTTCCGTGATATCGTCTTCTTTCCCAAGGGCGCTGATACAACTTTCAAGGTATTTGAATTGTTGAACGATTTCTCCCCCCTATACCCATTAGTTTTCACCACAGGAGGCGATTCCTGCCAATCTTGGAGAAAGCTTTGCACTTCGATAATGCAAAGCGAAGCCCGAGGCGGTTGACAGCCAGCGCTAATCTATGCATTGCAGCTTGGCACGTCTGTTAGCTGTCACAGATTAGGGTAATATCATCTGCATATTTCATGTTAAGAAGTCGTCCTCCTGAGAGTATCCCCCAAACGTTCTTAGTTCTGTCCTGTGAACGCACATTTCATGACTTCTTCAATAGCGAAGTTGAAGAGGAAAAGTAACAGTGGGCATCCTTGTGCTGAGTAAATAAATATACGGTGTATTCTTCGATGGTGCGAGGCACAGCCAAACTGCGTGGTGCGAGTGAATTCCGGCAAGAGTACCTGCGATTGTGATACTCGCAAGTCTTTTCGCGTTTTCTACTTATTTTTGTGGCGGAAGTAAGTACGGTTGCATCCGTCGCAGTTAGTCTCGGACAGACAGCCACCACGCATCCAGGGAAGCGCTAGACGGCCCTTTCGTCCTATTGGGACTCGTCAGCGGCGCGCACCCGCCGGATTCGAACCCACGACCTCACTTTTGCGAGTCAGCGTCCTATATCACTGAGTCATGGGCGACGGCCGCGGACTGCCATGACTGATATCTAACTGCGATATAGCGCGGCTCATCCTCCACTGTCTTGCATGTTATGAATGTACAGAAGATATGGCTGGCCACCAGAGCAACGACTTCTTTTGCAAGCTGCCTTTGTCTGACTGCGACGAATCTACACAAATCCTAATAACTCCCCTACTACTTACAGATAATCAGTGGTTGCCTTAGCAGCTTACTTGCCACCTCGATTGGTGGCGGCTTGCAAAGGAAGTCGTTGCTCTGGGAGTCAGCCCTGTCCTCTGCACCTTCATAACATGCAAGACAGTGGAGGATGAGCCGCGTGATATCGCAGTTACATATCAATCATGGCGGTCCGCTGCCGTCGCCCATGGCTCAGTGACATAAGTCGCTGACTCGCAAGAGCGTGGTCGTGGGTTCGAATCCGGCAGGATTCGGCGGGTGCGCGCTACTGACGAGCCACAAGAGGGCGAAACGACCGTCTAGCGCTTTTCTGGATGTGTGGTGGATATCTGCCTGTCTAACTGCGATGAATCTACACAAAGACCTAATAAATCCCCGACTACTTACACATAACCATTTCATCCATTCCGGTTTTGTCCGCTTCATCTAGAGTGGATGTCGCACCAAGTGACCGACTATCGATGTCATGATATGCGGAACACTCTTCTCTGTTAATCGAATCTAGCCCCTGTGCAGAATACGTGGCCATTCTTCACCTACATCAGAGAAGCAATGCAGTCAGACTGAGTTGCACATCGCAAATTTCCAGTGTTTCTTGTTATGCCATAAAACGGTTTGTGACCTAGTGGAAGGAGCCGCGCTCCTGATGACCACCCCTGCTTTCCGCACAGCTGATCCCAATCAGCGATACCACACTTAGCATCCTAATCATGCGGGCTACTGCCGTTCAGTAACGTAAGCCAATAACTATAGGCCAAGCACCCATGGTTCCGAACCACTTAGAGGACGAGGGAGATGTGCACTACTGAGAGTTCTTATTAAGAAAAGTGACGTCTAAACATTTCTTCAGGTTGTGATAACTGTATGACAATCGAACTGTGACTAAATTGCACAAAATTCATCATATTTCCACAAATGAGGAGAGCAGATCGAGGCGGCTACCTGGTTTCTTTGCCTAGTTGGAGGTATTTTCGCTTTAGTTATCATATTACAAACGGGCTGTTGTGCGCCTCTGAAATTGTTGCCTGTCTTCTTGAAGCTCAGTCTGCATTGCTGCATTACGCCCACTTGAACTGTCCATAGTAGAACATGATCGGTATGCTTTGATAACACTAAGGTCATCTGTCTACAACGCCCTTATCCACGAGGCACTGTTCACGTGAAGTTGACAGTACGAGGAACCACTAATTTACACTTCTCTGTGAAAACACTAGTGTCACACTACGTTATTGGCAAACCTCGCTCCGTCTACCCTTGTCAGGCTATCTTCATCATCCTGTTAACCGCTTACTCCCGCTTAATTTGTTTGCCATCCACGCGCCGTTTACGGTGAGATTTAATTACATCTCATTTAGACTATCGTATCCGGCATGCAGATGGCTGGAAACTTCGAATTGGTACGGTAGGCGAATTGTCGGTGATCTCGCACTCATTTTCTTGCTTTCGCTCCTTCGGTTTTACGTCTCTCTTCTTTTTTTCATTTCCCCAATCTTAATTCTGTTGTGGCTGCATGAGTCCGAGTAAGCCTGTGTATTTTTTCGTTGATCGGTTGAAGTGAATGCAGCCGGAGAGGTGATCCCCCTTTGCTCTGACTTACTCTGCGTCATTTGGTTACGCCACTGTTTTCCACTCATGTTGTTACCCTTTACTTCTTGTTTGCGGTCAGACGATGCTTCGCTTCTCCCTTCCCATCGTGTTGTGTTGTGTTCCTGCATGAACGACATGATCATGCCTACAATGGCGTGTCGCGCATTGTCAGGGAATAAAGAATTTATTTATTCATTTATCTACAAATCGTTCTTTATTCGGATGTGGCTCCTTTTATTGTATACATTTTCCATTGTTTGTAGTCTCTGTTTACGTCCTTCGACGTCATGTTTACTGTTCTTTTTGGCTGTTTCTAATAAATTTTAGATATTGGCCAACACAGTGGAGTACTCTTTCAACCTTGACAATACTACTTTGGCCGGAGTAAGTGTAGACTGTTCGTGTCATTTTAACGATACGTCTTTTGTTACTCATTCAATGAGTTATCTAAAATTGGCTTTTTCTTTTCAGGACACAAAAACTCACCTGTTTTGTAACGTTGCGCTGACTGGTTTCCAACAATTTTTCGCTCTCTCTTGTTGATCGTTTCCCGAAGCCTGTTCCTTTTAACTGGTACTGACTGCTCGATGGACAGTCAGGACACCCACTCCGGAGTAACAATGCTCCACCAGGCTTCATTGTACCCCGCTGGCCACGAGTACAGAATTACTCGCTATATTCGAACCATGTGGTCATTAGTAACATTTCAGCCATTGTATGTTTCCACGACTGATAATCCACACTATTTTGTTTCCCTTTTACCAAACGCTGCTTCACGGCGCGTCTACTCATTCAGATACTTTCCTTATCCCTCGTCTTCAATCATCGATTTCTTTGGAGCGGTTTCGTTTAAGTGGTGATATTTTTACGCTTGCTTAGCTTCGTTTTGGGTATCTTTTTTCAGCAATTGCTGGGACTCAAATTGAAAAGGAAATTGGTCAGTCGTTAGCTGACACATTGGTACTAAGGGTACTGCAAATGATTTCGGTGGTCGGTTGTCCTAGATGCGTTGTTCAGATGAAGTGAATCAAATCGTTTCCACTGGTTTCTTCGTCTATTCGCCTGACAGTCGCAAAATATATGGGTCATCTAAAAAAGCTTTCTCCTGACCAATTTCCGGTGCACCGAGAGTAGCGAGACTTGGCACAGACACTAGTCATTCTCCACATAGTTGCCACACAGATTTCCACATTTCTCCCATCGTGTTATTCCGTCAAACAGACCACATTTGTAGAAGTCCTCATATTCGGCCAAAAGCCATGACTCGATCTCAGAAATCAGAACCTAAACTCCAGGAAAATGTCTTCCCTTCGAAAATGACTTCATATTTGAGAAGTGGTGAAAGCCAGTTGGTACAAGCTCTAGTAAGTATGGAAGATGAGGAAGGGTTTCATGTCTATAGGACGGCGCTTCTTTCTAAGTCTATTTTGTCCCATGGAGCAGAACAACTCTGGTTCGCATGATACGTCTCTCTTGATAGCCATCTGTAATTGATGTAGTAGTGAAGCATGGTGTGTTAGGATAATACTGACACTTTTGCAAAGCAAATACATCTATTACTCCATGCTGGTCCCGTATGACTAAGTACGACGTTACTGGCTGAAAGTTGGACACGGGCCTTTGGAGGTGGTGATTCAACATGTTTCCACCCCACTAATCTAGACATCTTGGGATATTTGGCGAATGACTACACGGGGATCATGAAGAATGGCGGTCTCCATTTGTTGGGTCGTATCCTCATTAGTAACAGGAACGGAGCGACCGGAATCGGAAGCTGTCTCCATTGAAATCCAACCACATTTAAACTGGCGATGCCAATTTTTACAATACCGTGTGATGGCGCATTATCGCCAAATGCCTCTATCACTTCATCCAATGTTTTACATGAGGTGTAGCCCTATAAAAAAGGTATTTGATAACTGGTTTGTATTCAACTGTCTCCATACTACAACCCTCCTTCAAATCAGAAAATACCAAAGAAACACTTAGTAGTATGGCGTTGCAATTTGCCGGAATTCCTGTTTACATATGTATATTTACAACTGCCTAATTTCGACCCTCCACGATTACTGGAAGTTAAGCAGGGAAATTGTTATTGGACGACCCACGTACTTGGCAATGCTATAACTTTATTAAGCTACATACCGCAAACCCCATCTCCATTACAGCACTGGCGCGTCGGTCGGAGTAGAAAGCGACGTGAACAACGTCGAGCTCGGCTTTTGCGCGAGCTGAATAATAAGGAGAACTTCCCTCCCTTCAACAATGTCGAGGCCCGTACGTAACACGTGAGCCCATTTTTGTACTTAACATACGCGATTAACCCATCGTTGGTTTATGTTCGATATTTTTCTATTCCTATTGTTCACTGCGAGCTACCATGATTGTAGGCTATCCGTCAATTTTCCCTTTCCTGTAGGCAGAAGAGCCTATGGTTCGCCAAGGCTGGTGGTGGCTAGATCCTGACAGATGGTCTACCCACTGCTGCTACTGTTGTGCCATTTGCTCATGTCCTGGGCGCCTCGTGGCGACCGCTGGATGGGAGCTGGGTTACCCCCTTCTCCCTGCTAAGATCCAGGGCACCAATCCGCATGAGTCAGTGAACTGACCATGTGCTAGACCCACTGCCTTTCGGGTGTTCATTCATTCGAAGGCTTTGGCTGAGGACCCGAGTCGTTCTCCTGTCAGGTGTGGGCGCCCTGTCGGTATCCTAGTCCATCCTCTTCGGAGGTTAGGAAGTGGTCGATGGCCCTCTTCCCGTAAAACCTAGCCATGGGAGACAACAGGTCTACGGGTTATATTCTCAAAGCTCGATTGGCGTCGAGCACGAGCGCCACGCATTGTCTCTGACGGTGGGAGGGCACCTCCGGGTGTTCAATGGTTTGCTACTTCTCGCCTCAAGCCAGGCAGTCCCTGGTCAAATTGGTGCAAACCCGCCAAAACCCACCTGCGTCTGGCGGTGTTCGCAGGTGTATCCTACTACGGTCGCAAAACATATATAAATCGTCCCAGTACCTCCAAGGCTGCGTATGACGGCCGTCGAGCAGACCCAATCTGTCTCTGCAATCACATTTCCGAGCTGGATCTGCTCCCCACTGCCTTGTGGATCAGGCTAATGAGCCAAAGGCTCCGGGCGGAGTCCCTCAAGCAAACCTACGATGCACAACGACAACCTCGCGTGCGATTGCCCACCAATGCAATCGTATGCCTGCGCGCAAAGCACTCAGCATCAAGTGCTGGAACGTGCGCACACTACTGGACCGGAACTCGAGTGAGCGCCCCGAGCGACGCACTGCACTCGTCGCGATGGAACTGGCCCGCTGCCACCTCGACATCGCGGCGCTCAGTGAAACCCGGCTCGCTAAGGTAAGTTGTATGAAGCAGGTGCTGGCTGTACATTCTACTAGGTGGGAAACGCCGCCTCAGCACCACGTGATCATGGGGTCGGATTTGCAATATCCAATCGCCTCCATGGCCAGCTGGTGGGTGAACCAACAGGCATCAGCGCGCGACTTAGGACTGTCCGCTTAGGACTCGGGAGAGGTAAGTTTGCCACTTTATAAGCACGTACGGTCTGACCATATGTTATCCTGATGACAGGCGTGATCAATTTTACACTCAGCTATCCTCCGTGATACGGTCTGTGCCGAGGAGTGACCGACTATTTCTGCTGGGTGCTTTCAACGCGCGCGTTGGGCGTGACGCATCAGTGTGGACAGATGTTATCGGTTCGCATGGCATTGGTTCAGCGAATGTGAACGGTGACAGGCTGCTCTCACTGTGTGCCACTCACGGCCTGACAATCACGAACACTCGATTTGCACTGAGTGCGAATGATATAGCAACTAGGACGCACCCACGGAGTGGTCACGCTCACCTGCTCGACTATGTCATCTACGTCGACGTGATATGCGTGAAGTGCGCATGACACGTGTACTGCGTGGAGCTGAGTGTGCCACTGATCACAAGTTGGTGCGGACCAAACTGCACATATATATTCGTAAATCTATGTATTGCACTCCCGCCGTGAATCGGCATAAATTTAACATTCTCTCCCTCGGTACTGTGGCGAAACGTGTTGAGCTGGTGAAGGCGATGGCTGCACGCCTGTGTGATGTGGAATGCATAGCCACAGTGGGCGACCTGTGGCACCAAATTTGCGACCAGGTGGCAGCTGCTGCCGCGGAGACCATCGGGCGCGCAAACTGTTGGCGGCCTGATTGGTTTGATGAGAACAATGCGACGATCGGCGCATTGGTTTGTGAGAAGCATGCAACATTTGCTCCACATGTGGCAGACGCCAGTGACTTCGGGAAGAGTAGTCAGTTTCGCAAACTTTGACGGCGACTGACCCGAGAGCTCTGTCGCCTTAACAATGCATGGTGGACGGAGAATCCGAAGCAGATGGAATGCTACGCCGAACGTCGCCAACACAAGGAATTCTTTGACTCCTTGAAGGCGGTGTGTGGACTGAGGTTGGAGCCTCTGAGAACGCTGATCGATGGTAGTTCAGGCGCTACCTGCACACAGACTACAGACATAATGCAGATCTGGCGGAAACACTTTGACTATCTTTTGAACAACCGTTCAGAGATCAACTGGCCTACATTGAACGGTCTGAAGCAGAACAATGTGAAGACGAGTCTGGCAGATACGCCGACACTGGATGAGACGCAGAGAGCACTTGCTCAGCTGCGAAGCGGCAAGTGTGCTGGGGCTGACGGGATCCCACCTGAAGTATTGAAATACGGCGGACCCGCGTCGGTGACTGCGCTGCACCACTTGGTGTAACGTGTATGGATTGAGGAGGAGGTGCCTCCTGAGCGGAAGAATGCCCTTGTGCTATCACTGTACAAGGACACAGGTAGCAAGCAATGTTGCACGAATTATCGTGGCATTAACTTGCTGAGTTGTGTGGGCAAGGTGATTTCCCGAATCCTGCTCAACCGTCTCGTCAATCAGGTTGTGGAACCGAACGTGGCGGAAGAGCAATGTGGATTCCATTCGCGTCGCAGCACTATAGCTATGGTGTTTGCGACTCGTCAGTTTCAGGAGATGTGTAGAGAACCACCGTAGCCGGTGTACTCGCTTTTTGTTGATTTCACCAAGGCATTTGATACGGTGAACCGCGAGGCATTGTGGCTGGTGTTGGGTAAATTTGGTTGCCCGCGTAAGTTTGTAAGTTTAATTGAATGTCTGCACAGTGGTATGCGAGCGAGGGTGTAGCTGAGTGGGGAGACCTCGGAGTAGTTTGCAGTTGTCACTGGTGAGAAGCAAGGCTTTGTCTTTTCTCCTGCTCTGTTTAATATAAATCTTCATACAATGATGTCTTGTGCTTTTGATGCGGCTTGTGCTTACGGTGTTCGTGTGGAGCACCGTATTGATGGTGGGTTGCTGAACATCCGTCGTTTCGGTGCGAGAACTCTAGTCTGTGAGACAACTATCCGTATGTTGCTGTTTGCTGACGGCTGTGCGTTGTTTTCACACAGCGCGGATGAGTTGCAGCACATGACTAGTGCTCTGGCTTCGACAGCGGCAAAATTCGGGCTCACCATCAGCACAAACAAAACTGTCTGTCTCTTTCGCACTTCACCAGAGGTGCAATCTTCAATATTGCCGCGAATCAGCATTGGTGCTGAAATATTGGAAACCACCTCCCGCTTCAGCTACCTTGGGACCTTGATGTCGACTGACCAGCAGATACACAGTGGGCTGCGTATCCACATGTCGAAGGCAGCGGCGGCATTCGGGAAGCTTGAGTACTGAGTGTGGAACAACCATCAGCTCACCATTGGCACGAAGCTGATGGTCTACAAACGCATGGTGCTGTCCGTTCTTCTATACGGCAGTGAAACGTGGACGATGTACCGACGAGATGTGAGATATCTCGAGTGGTTCCATCAGCAGCGTCTATGACGAATTTTGCGCATCGGTTGGGGCACCAGAGTTGCAGACACGGAAGTGTTGCGCCGAAGTGGGATGTATGCAGTGGACTGCATACTTTTACTGAGACACCTGAGATGGATCAGTCATGTGTGACGTATGGATTCCACTCGGATACCGAAACAAATCTTATGCGGTCAGCTGAGTATAGGGAAGCGGCACGTGGGAAGACCAAAGTTACGTTACCAGGACATGATTAAAGTGAGCGTCTTACGTTCTAATCTTGATTGCTGATCATGGGAATCGAAGGCGGTTGATCGGCGTGCATGACGCGATCTAATCACGAAGGCAGTTGCCGAAGTGTGGGAGAAAAACTTCATACATGCAGAGAAGAGGCGGCAATCGCGAAAGCGGCAAGCACCGATGGGTTGTACTCCATCGACATCTAGCGCATGGTGCTGTAGCACATGCAGTCGCGAGTGTCTGAGTCAGGCAGGCCTAGTGAGTCATGAGCGAGGCCACTCGGGACCATTACCGAAGCGACGACGGGTTCTGCAGAGAAGGTAGGCAGAACCGGCGCAGCGTTTGTAGGTACGCTGCATTCGATTTACTAACCGCGTGCTTGCATGCTAAGTCATTTTGTTTCAGATGATCATTTTGTGATAATGTCATTTTGTCCTAATGCTTTTCTTTCTCATAGAAATGCCTACCTGTACTCTCTTGTATAAACTTGCACACGTCGCTTAAGCCAATCGTAGTTAATTTCGATAACGTTTTCGTGTTTGTGCCATTTCCGTAAAATGTACTGTCTGACCTCGTGAACTTCTCTCGGATTCGTTTGTAAACAACTTATTTCATATGCTGATTAATTTAAGATTTATGTCACGTTTCCTTATGCGTTACTCGATTTATTTTTTTTTGTTAACTTTCTCAAGTGATTGGCTGTTGCTTGATATCCGCGGTGTGGCTGCGCTTGATGTGCATGTTGACGAGTTGTCTACCTGTCTATTACCCACTACCTCATCCATACTAGCTCCAGGAGACCGTCGTTGCTGAAGGGGATGGTGTGCACGGTCCTTGTGGCCGTGTTAGGATCAAAGAGTGGTTCCATGCAGTCAGTGTGGAGCGGACTACGGTCCAGCCACCGCCTTGTGTGCGATTGATTCCCCAAATACAGGGTGCTTGTGTTTGTCTGTGAAGGAGTGTGGGCCGGCTCCGTTGATGAAACGTGGCTCCCATCCACATGCCTGCCGGTCTTATTCCTTCGGGTTTACACTGGATATGGGGTATGTGGTTGGAGCTGTCGATGGTGCAGCGCAAGCCACCCATGGTCCCTCTGTAGGCGCAGGCGTCCTGTGGCTGGCCCTATTGACAGGCAAATCCGAAAGCGGATG